TCTCCTGGGCTCAAGCGATCTTCCCACCTCAGCCTCCTAAGTAATGGAGACTACCAAGGAGTCTGGTTACAAACTGGCCACCACGTGCAGTTAATTTTGTGTTTCACTATGTTGCCCAGGCTGATCTCAAACTCGTAGGTGCAAGCAATCCTCCCACCTTGGCCTCCCAAAGTGTTGGGATTACAGGAGCCAGACACTGAGCCTGGCCTGAACTGAATGCTTAATAACCTGTACTTTTAATTTATAATAAGTTCCTCGATGCATTCAAATAAAGCCATGGATAACCTAGAGTTGTTGTAGATATTATTGTCAAACAGTTAAATGTGGCTCCCAATTACTTGCTTTAGTAAGCACTTCGACACAGTTGACTACAGATGATAAGTTGATTATTTGTGATGCCACTACATTCCATTTCCCATTGACAAGTGGCTCAACATAGCATTTGAGTTTAAGGATATGACCAAATAAACTCCTATAATAAATCCTATATCTGAAAGTCTGTTCCCTGGAATAACTCCTAGAAAACCATTTTCTGTATTAGTCAGGATTCAGTGAAGAAATGGAAGCCATAGGAGTTATTTTTTTCAATATAAAATTTATTAATTTTCATTGTGGTAAAATTCACATAATAAAATTTATCATCTTAACTCTTTTCAAGTGTTCAGTTCAAGTGGTATGAAATACATTCAGAGTGCTGTGCAACCATCACCACCATCCATCTCCAGAACTTTTCATTTTGTAAAACTGAAACTCTGCACCCATTAAACAGTAACTCCGGCCAGGCATGGTGGCTCACACCTGTAATCCCAGCACTTTGGGAGTCTGAGGTGGGCGGGTCACAAGGTCAGGAGTTCAACACCAGCCTGGCCAATATGGTAAAACTCCATCTCTACTAAAAATACAAAAATTACCCACGCGTGGTGGCAGGCACCTGTAGTCCCAGCTGCTCAGGAAACTGAGGCAGGAGAATCACTTGAACTCGGGAGGCAGAGGTTGCCATGAGCTGAGATCATACCACTATACGCCAGCCTGGCCGACAGAGCAAGACTACGTCTCAAAAGAAAAGAAAATAAAAGAAACAAACCCCGTAACTCCTCATTTCCCCTCCCCCCCAGTCCCTGGCAACTGCCATCCTACTTTCTGTCTCTATGATTTTTGACTGTCCTAACTTATATAAGTAGAATCACATAGTATTTGTCTTTTGGTAGCTGGCTTATTTCACTTAGCGTAACGTCCTCAATGTTCATCCATGTTGTAGCATTTGTCAGGATTTCTTCCTTTTTAAGACTGAATAATATTCCATTGTCGGTATATACCACACTTTGCTTATCTGTTCATTTGTCAGTGTACACTTGTGTTGTTTCCACATTTTAGCTATTTTGAATAATGCTGCTATGAACACAGGCATGACAAAAACAAGTATCTCTTCTTTGACACCCTGTTTCTGACTCTGAATATATACCCAGAAGTGGAATGCTGGATCGTATGGTAATTCTATAATTTTTTGAGGAACTGCCATATCATAGGAGTTATCTTTTTTGTTTTTTAAGATGGGGTCTCACACTGTTGTCCAGGTTAGAGTGCAGTGGCATGATTACAGTTCACTGCAACCTCTGCCTCCCAGGCTCAAGTGATCCTCCCACCTCAGCTGTGACCACAGGTGCGCAATACCACACCTGGCTAATTTTTTGTTTTTGTTTTTGGTAGAGGCAGGGTTTTGCTATGTTGCCTAGGCTGGCCTCAAACTCCTGGGCTCAAACAATCCACCCGCCTTGGCCTCCCAAAGTACTGGGATTTCTGGTATGAGCCACTCCTTCCCCCTGGCCAATCTTAACTGACAAAATTAATATAAAGAATTATTAGAGATATCACAGGTATTGGAGAATTAAAAAGGGAAAATGGAACAAAGAAGTAGTGACCGTAGGAAGTAGGGGAAATAAAAGGTCAAGATTGAGATTATTGGGACCAAACACTTGAAGGAGGAGCCCAGCTAATTTTCGTATCTATAGTAGAGACTGGGTTTCACCATGTTAGCCAGGCTGGTCTCGAACTCCCGACCTCAGGTGATCCGCCTGCCTTGGCCTCCCAAAGTGCTGAGATTACAGGCATGAGCCACCGTGCTCAGCCCGGAACAATTTCTTTATAACCAGCACAGTTAGGCAATCATTGTTCAGATTACATACAACGACATGAGGGAGAAGCAAGAGTCTAGGACATTTCATAGGTTTCTAGCTTTAGTAACTACATGAATAGTGGAGAGAGGGGTAGAATGTATGTGGAGTAGAGAAGAGCTAGTTTGTAGGGGTTGTAAATATACCAACCCCAACAGAGTTGATATACTTAGAGAGCCTGGACTCTAATATAGCACAACTCAAAATGTGGCCTCTTTACTGGCCAATCTGCAATTTTTAAAAAAATTGTAGTAAAATACACATGAAGTAAAATTTTCCATTTTAACTTTTTTTGAGACAGGGTCTCCCTCTGTCACCCAGGCTGCAGTGCAATGGCATGATCATAGTTCACTGCAGCCTCCTGGGCTCAATCAATACTCCCACCTCAGCCTCCTAAGTAGCTGGGACCACAGGCAGGTACCATCACTCTTGGCTAATTTTTAAAATTTTTTATAGAGATGAGATTTCCCTATCTTGCCTAGGCTGGTCTTAAACTCCTGGGCTCAAGCGATCATCCCTCCTCAGCCTCCAAAAGTGCTGGGATTACAGGCAGGAGCCACCATGCCCAGCCCTTTTTAACAGTTTTTAAGCATACGGTTCAGTGGCATTAAGTGCATTCACATTTGTTGTGCAACCATCACCACTGTCTCCAGATTTTTTTCATCACCCTAAACTGAAACTCTGTACCCTTTAAACACGAACTCCACCCTCCAGGCCCTGATAATCACTATTCTACTTTTAGTCTCTATGAATTTGTCTATTCTAGGTACTCCATATAAGTAGAATCATACAATATTTGTCCTTTTGTGCCTAGCTTATTTCACTTAGCATATATCTTCAAAGTTTATCCATGTTGTAGCATGAGTCAGAGTTGCATTCCTTTTTGAGGCTGAGTAATATTTCATTGTGCATTTATTCCACATTTTGTGCAATTTGTTATCAGTCCTCAACAAGATAAAAGCTCGTCACAGAATGTAAAGCAACTATGTCACTGAACACCATGTTTAGTTCCCTCAGCATTTTTGTAGGAAGATTTTCTCTTTCTCAATGAAGGAAGCAGAATGCTGATTTACATTCTGGAGTGAGGTCATTATCTCACTTCATCCTAGTACTTCCAATAGCACTGGTATAGTAAGTATTTAGAGATATAGCTTTGGACTGGAGATTTGAGAGTCATCATCCTACAAAAGAAAAAAAAAATTCCAAACCTGGACTAGGATGCAATCTTTTTGCATGATGTAATTGAAAGCTTCCTTCTAGGAAGAAATTAGGATTTCTTGTAAAATGCCTACACAAATGTCTAATAAATTAATGGGACTAAAACTTCTAAGAAACCAGTCATCCACCCACTTACTTTTCAGTTAAGAGTCCAGTGAGTGACTTACCAAACACTCTTTTCGTATCTGTATCTAATGGAACAATAACTTTATAAACAATCTTTTTTTTTTTTTTTTTTGAGACAGGATCTCGCTCTGTCACCCAGGCTAGGGTGCAGTGGTATAATCACAGTTCACTGTAGCCTTAACCTCCCAGGCTTAAGGGATCTCCCGCCTCAGCCTCCCGAGCAGCTGGGACTATACTTGCATGCCTCCATGCCTGGCTAATTAAAAAAAAAAAAAAAAATTGTAGAGATGAGGTTTCCCTATGTTTCCCATACTGATCTCAAACTCCTGGGCTGAACCATCCTCCCCTCTTGGCCTCCTGAAGTGCTGAGATTACATGCATGGGCTATCGTTCCTGGTCAACAATCTCTTTTCCTGTAAAATATCCCTATCAAAAGTGAATATTTGAATTGAACTTTTTAAAGGATGATAGTAAAAACAAAAAGAGGTAAAATGATGACTCTCATGCAGATATGAAATGAATACGGGGCAAATATTTTTATTTATTTACTAATTAATGAGTAGTTAAATAATGAAAAAGATGTTACAATCAATGCAAAGGGAAACCCAAAACCCAGAAAACTATATAAACCCATCAGAAATGCTGGAATCATTTTTTTTTGTTTGTTTTTGAGACAGTCTCGCTCTGTTGCCCAGGCTGGAGTGCAGTGGTGCCATCTTGGCTCACTGCAAGCTCTGCCTCTCCAGTTCACGCCATTCTCCTGCCTCAGCATCCCAAGTAGCTGGGACTACAGGTGCCCACCACCACGCCCAGCTAATTTTTTGTATTTTTAGTAGAGACAGGGTTTCACCATGTTAGCTAGGATGGCCTCAATCTCCTGACCTCATGATCTGCCCACCTCAACCTCCCAAAGTACTGGGATTACAGGCGTAAGCCACCGGTCCCAGCCTTTTTTTTGTTGTTTTTTGAGGCAGAGTCTTGCTCTGTCGCCCAGGCTGGAGTGCAGCCGTGAAACCTCGGCTCACTGCAACTTCCACCTCCCAAGTTCAAGCAATTATCCTGCCTCAGCCTCCCAGGTGTGCAGGATTACAGGTGTGAGCCATTAGGTCTTGCTAATTTTTGTATTTTTAGTAGAGACGGGGTTTCACCATGTTGGCCAGGTTGGTCTTGAACTCCTGACCTCAGGTGATCCACAGCCTCAGCTTCCCAAAGTGCTGGGATTACAGGTGTGTGCCACCACACCCGGCCTCTCTCTTTCTTTCCTTCTCTCTTTCCCCCAACCCCACCTCTGACAGGGTCTTGCTCTGTTGCCCTGGCTGCAGTGCAGTGGTGCCATCATACATCACTGTAACCTCAAACTCCTAGGCTCAAGCAATCCTCCCACCTCAGTCTCCCTAGTAGCTGGGACTACAGGTGCACATCACTATGCCCCATTAATTAAAGTTTTTTTTGTAGAGATGGGGTCTTGCTATGTTGCTCAGGCTGGGCTCAAGCAATCCCCCTGCTTTGGCCTCCCAAAGTGCAGGGATTATAGGCATGAGCCTCTACACCCCACCTGAAATCAATGTTCTGAATAGAACAGTGAGAAAGGGAAGTCAACAGAAACTTCTCAGAACAGAATTTATTTGTATATCTAAAGACAATAATTATTTATGTTACTCTTAGTTTTCTACAAGTTAGAGTCCATCTCTTCAGAATTGTTAAATACCTCAAAGACAATGAAAGGTATAAACCCCACAGAATCTGATAAGCTGGAAGGGGATACTTAAAACAATGCAGTTTTCCATTTCTCAATAATCTTTTGGTCCATTTCAAAGTCTTTCAGACTTTCCCCCATATGCTACTATAGGCCTGCTCTTATACTATAGGCCTTGCTATGAGATGGTAATGAAATTTCCCTATAGGTTCATAGCAAAATTATCCGAAAAACTTTAACACTTGGCTTCTAACATTGGCTGCTGATTTAGGGGAGTCAAGCAGAAGTCTTGAAAGTAGGTATTTTCACTGAATGGGCATGTTTGTTATGGCACCCCATCCTTAACTAGACAAAGAACCCTCTGCTTTACCCTCTCCAGGGAATCAGTCCTGAGTCTTGCACCAGGCAGTCATTTGGGAGCTGGGGAAGGAATCCAGTGTTCTAATGCTTCTGAAATAGACTTTGAACCAACTGTCCAATTCAAGCCCCCACTTTATCCCTGCTTCTGGGGGTACCTGGTGCTGCCAATTCTTGAACTTTTGGTGGTTTTCTGGGGCAAATCTGGCTTGCTTTTGGCCATCCCCTTTGATAGAGGGCAAGTCTGCTAATTCAGTTCGCACTATCCTGCTTTCCAGCTTCCAAAATGGTAATAATTTGATCTCCTCTACTGTTCTCTGACAGACGGATTATATAAACAGACAGTAGCCAGACCATATATGACAACAGAACTCTGACCCACAACCTCCGCAATCGGCCAGCCTGGGCACGGCTTGGTCAATGAGTCAGTTGCCCTATATTTTGCCCCTATTTTCAACACAGGACCAACCAGAGAAAGCCAAACCATTACACAAGAAGCCCAGCTTCTAGTTAGCCCACCTGCAGTTTCCCCATGACAGTGACCTCCAGTCAGAGTATACTGAAGCCTTCCCCTTTTTTCACTACAGCATAAAGTGTTTCCACTCCCTGCCTGCCTTCAAGTCTCACCAAAGTATGGTGGCATGTTGGCGGACTCCTAATGACAGCAGCCTCGGCATAAATATCCTCTCTTCTTACCTGAGTGGTTTTCATCATTTTCCTTATCTTTTTGATTTTGAAGTTTTATGTTAAAGTGCTTTTTTAAACCATTGTTCTACAGGGATTTTAGAAGGAGGTGGGTTGTGTGTGGTTCAATCTATCGGCTTTAACTGGAGATCTCTTTCTGTGTTCTTTCCTCTGTGACTAGATGTCAGCTGTCCATCCCCTACCCTCCCCCGGCAACAGGCCCAGAAGTCACCTTTGCATTTTCCTCTTGCAAACCTGGTTGCAAAATCCAGTATGTATTTAAATTCCTCCAAAGAATCCGCTGGATCAAAAGGATTAGAGAATGACATAGACTTTGCTGAACCTTACCTGTGGAAGATAGAAGATGAAGGTATTTAACATTCACAATTTAAGCTATTTAACATTCACAAACCCCACCCCGCCCAGCCTGTCCCCTTTTTAGAAACATTACCAAAAATCCCATACAAAAACTTTTGCTTATAACTAGCCAGAACTTAGTCACATGGCCACACCTACTCCTAATGAAGACAGAAAATTGTATTTTGTAAATGCAATTGTTTAATGCCCCCGACTAAGTGGAAAAGGAGAATGGATAATAGGTGGGCAACTAGCACTTCTGGCCACAGTTCCTCATGAATTTTCTGCATATGATGTCCCATGAATCCCTAGCCCAGGGCTTGACATTAAGTTGTCCTTGGAATGGATAAACAAATGAATAAAACATTTCAGATAGTTCACACAATAACCTTTTTTTCCAAAAAAAAAAAAAACATTAATTGACTTTATTTCTAGAGCAGTTTTAGGTTTATGGAAAATTTGAGGCTGGGCGCAGTGGCTCACGCCTGTAATCTCAGCACTTTGGGAGGCCGAGGCAGGCGGATCACGAATCAGAAGATCAAGACCATCCTGGCTAACATGGTGAAACCCCGTCTCTACTAAAAATACAAAAAATTAGCCAGGTGTAGTGGCGGGCGCCTGTAGTCCCAGCTACTTGGGAGGCTGAGGCAGGAGAATGACGTGAACCCGCAAGGCAAAGCTTGCAGTGAGCCCAGATCTGCCACTGCACTCCAGCCTGAGCGACAGAGCGAGACTCTGTCTCAAAAAAAAGAAAAAAAAAATTGAACAGAATGTGCAGAGAGCTCCCACATACCTCCCCTCACCACATGCAGTTTCATCTATTATTGACATATTGCATGGGTATTGTACATTTGCTACAAAATGATACGTTATTAGCCAAATAGTTTACATTAGAGTTCACTCATCATGTTGCACAGTTCCATAGGTTTTGACAAATGCATAATGTCAGGTATCCACCATTACTGTATCACACAGAATAGTTTCACTGGCCTAAAAATCCCCTTGCTCCAGCTATATTCTGCCTTTCCTCCTCCCCTGGAATCCCTGGCAACCATTGATCTTTTTACTACCTCTACAGCTTTGCCTTTTCCAGAATATCATATTGTAGGAACCATACAGTATGTAGCCATTTCAGACTGACCTCTTTCACTTAGCAATATACATTTAAGATTTCTCCATATTATTTTTTTGTGGCTTGATAACATTTCTTTTTAGTTCTGAATAATATTCCATGGTAAGGATGTACCAGTTTGGTTATTCTTTTACCTACTGAAAGACAAAGATGTCTGTTTCCAGCTTATAAATAAACCTGCCGTCAACATTCATGTGCAAGTTTATGTGTGGTCCTAAGTTTTCAACTCATTTCGGTAAATACCCAAAGGTGTGACTGCTGGATTGCATGCTGAGACTATCTTTACCTTTATAGGAAACTACCAAACTGTCTTCAGAAGTGGCTATACCATTTTGTATTCCCAACAGCAATGAATGAGAGTTCCTGTTGCTCCACATCCTTGGCAGAATTTGGTGTAGGCAGTGTTTTGCATTTTAGCCATTCTTTTTTTTTTTTTTTTTTTGAGACGGAGTCTCGCTCTGTCACCCAGGCTGGAGTGCAGTGGCCGGATCTCAGCTCACTGCAAGCTCCGCCTCCCGGGTTTACGCCATTCTCCTGCCTCAGCCTCCCGAGTAGCTGGGACTACAGGCGCCCGCCATCTCACCCGGCTAGTTTTTTGTATTTTTAGTAGAGACGGGGTTTCACCGTATTAGCCAGGATGGTCTCGATCTCCTGACCTCGTGATCCTCCTGTCTCGGCCTCCCAAAGTGCTGGGATTACAGGCTTGAGCCACCGCGCCCGGGCGATCCTCCCACATCTACCTCCCGAGTAGCTGGGATCACAGGTGTGTGCCACCATGCCCAGCTAATTTTTGTATTTTGGGTAGCGATGGAGTTTTACCATGTTGCCCAGGGTGGTCTCAAACTCCTGGGCTCAAGTGATCCACATGCCTAAGCCTCCCAAAGTGCTGGGATTACAGGCATAATTTCCAAGTACGTGGAGTTTTAAAAATAATCTTTTCTTTTCTTTTTTTTCTTTTCTTTCCCTCCCCTCCCCTCCCCTCCCCTTCTCCGTCTCCTTCTTCTTCTCCCTCTCTCTCTCTCTCTCTCTCTCTCTCTTTTTTGAGAGTCTCGCTCTGTTACCCATGCTGGAATGCAGTGACATGATCTTGGCTTACTGCAACCTCCACCTCCCAAGTTCAAGCAGTCCTCCTGCCTCAGCCTCCCAAGTAGCTGGGATTACAGGCACTGGCCACTGTGCCTGGCTAATTTTTGTATTTTTTGTAGAAACAGGGTTTCACCATGTTGGCCAGGCTGGTCTTGAACTCCTTACCTCAGGTGATCCACCCGCCTCGGCCTCCCGAAGTGCTGGGGTTACAGGCATGAGACACTGCACCCAGCCTCATTATTGATTTCTAACTTAATTGCAATGTAGCCAGAGAATGTGAGCTATATGATAGCAATTTTTTACAATTTGTAAAAAGTGCTCAATAACCTAAAATGTTTTTAAAATTTTTATTTGATTTTAAAAATAGCAACCTGTTAATCAATGGCCTAAATCAAAATTAATTTTCTCAAATCTTCCCTGAATATGTGAAAAGTATATTTGAGAACAATTTGTGTTCTCAAATCGTTGGGTACATAGTTCTTTTCTTTGTCTTCCTCAAGAACGGAGGGTTCTATACATAGTTCTACACATGGTCCTTAGAAAAGGTTAATTAATTATGTCAGAGACATTCCCATAATGACTGGTGATTCTTGGATGTCTTCTCATATTTAAAAGTGAGAAACTGTATTTTAAAAGCTGATTAGAAGTTCTGTATGCACAGAGGAGTCTTGTTGACTGGGCCTTAATGTAGAGTGATTGCTTGTGAACCCAGACAGTTCTTTATGAAATCCTCCAAATGTCAACACTCTGTTATTCTTTTTGTTTTTAATTTTTAATTTTTGTGGGCACACAGTAGATGTATACATTTATGGGGTACATGAGATATTTTGATACAAGCATACACTGTATCTGCCATTCTAATCTAATTTCTATCTTTTAAAATTGTATCTTTTTTTTTAGTTTGGTATTATGTCCTTTCCTGTTCTTTCTTCTTTGGGTTAACAAACTTTTCACTCCTTTACTATCATTTTTAAAAAACTCTTTTATCGAAGTATATATGAAACCAGAAAAGTGCTCACAAATATAACCTGAACACACATGTAAAGCTGCACTCAGATTAAGAAATAGAACATTATCAGCACTTTGTGAGCCTCCTCACGTTCCCTTCCAGTTATTACTACCCTAAGATGAATCACTATATACAGTGACTTCTAACAGCAGGGATATTTGGGTAGTTTCCAGTTTGGGGCTGTTGAAAGTATGGGTATGAGCTTTTTTATGTACATGTCCTTTTGGTGAATATATGCAGACATTTCAGTTTCATATTTATAACTAGGAGTAAAATTGTTTTTTTGTTGTTTTTGATTTTGAGACAGGATCTAGCTCTGTCACCTATGCTGGACTGCAGTGGTGCAATTACAACTCACTGCAGTCTCAAACTCCAGGGATCAAGAGGTCCTTCTGCCTATGCCTCTGGAGTAGCTGGGACTACAGGTGTGCACCATGATGCCCAGCACTTTGGGAGGCCGAGGTGGGAGGATCGCTTGAGGCCAGGAGTTCAAGACCAGCCTGGGCAACACAGTGAAAATCCCTGAAGTGCTGGGATTACACATTGAGCCACTGTGTCCCACCTAGGGGTGAAATTGTTGGAACAAAGGCTTTTTCATGTATTCAACTTCAGTTGATACCGCCAAACAGTTTAACAAAGTGATTGCATCAATTTATGCTCCCTTCAGGAGCATATAAGAGCTGTGGTTGCTCCACAATCTTGCCAATACTTGATATTTTCTGTGGTTTTCATTTAGCTATATCTCATTGTGGTTTTAATTTGCATTTCCTCTTTATCCTTTGTTTTTTAAGGGTTTCAAGATGGACAGATAAAAATTCAGGGAGTTAATCACCTATAATAGCTGGAAATTTCCCCCATGGATACTCCTTCAGTGGAATTTAAAACATTTGCCTCTGTATTGAAGACAATGTAGTATAAAGGATGGGGCCACATGCTTTGCAATCAGACGTATGAGGTTTGATTCCTAACTCCAGTGCTTACTTGCTGAATTACCTTGAAGAAGTTATTTAACCTTTTTCCATTTTATGTAAAATGGCACTAATAATAGTACTGCCTCATAGGGTTGTTACGGGGATTAAAAGAGAAAAAATAAGTAAAATGCTTTGCAAAGCTCCTAGCAACAGGTGAGCACAAACTCAACAAATGGTAGCTATTATTACACCTTATATTGGTTATTTATGCACATCTCATTTCTCCTTCTGTTTTACACATTCCATGAGAAAGGAGAAACATGCATGTAGCACACATTAACTGCCTCACATATAATTGCTAATGAAGACTAATTGGATGAACGATTTAATATATAAACAGAAGATATTGTGATTATCGCTATAAAAGATGGCATAGGTTGGGCATTCACGCCTGTAATCCCAGCACTTTGGGAGGCTGAGCTGTGAGGATCGATTGAGCCCAGGAGTTCGAGACCAGCCTAGGCAACGTAGGGAGCCAGTCTCCACCAAAAAAAAAAAGGTGCATAAAATTATTATAGTGGCTATAGGATAATGTGCACTGCTAATGAAGACTACATTATTTAAATACACTGTCTTTCCTTCTATTTACTGTTATTGTTTAACAGAAAAACAGTACTCAGGATACTAAAGAAAGAAAATTCGATGTCCCATATTACATTTGTGAGAGTTCAGCCAAAACCAAAACCCAAACCCAAAACACAAAGCCAAAACCAAAACACAAACATACCATCCCAGAAACAAATGCGTCACTTTTCTGAAGACGTTAAGCCCTTCCAATTTTAACAGATTCTTTGTTCAACAGAGGAGACAGACTGGGTAGGCATCACCTGCCCCAGGAGCTTCCGTACAAGATGGCGTTGCCCGTTCCCAGACCCCAGCTGGGATTACGTCCTCCAGGCCTGCCGCAGGAACGGAAGTGGTTACGGCCCTAGTGAATCCGGGTGGGTGCGCGCTGGCGGCCGCACAGGTTCCAGCACTTTACCGTGAGCCCGCTGCAGGTGTGCGGCCCAGTCCGAGACAGCAGGTAAATGAGGCTCAGAGGCCGGCGAGGCCTTGCACCGGGATTGTGCGCGGGGCAGAGGGGCTTCCAGTGCAGACCAAGAGGGGTCGTGGGGCGGGGGATATTACCGTGTACGGGGGTGACATTGCGGGGACCCCGCTGTCCCGGAGCGAGTTGGCCCTGCCCCTCTCCCCGCCCCTCAGCGTGGCCCCCTCGCCCCCGTCGCCCACGTCGCCCACGGCGGGGCGGTTCAGCACCCAAGTGCGCAAGGAGGGCCTCACGCCTGCCCACGTCCTCCCATGCTCTCCTCGGGCCTCTCCTTCCGACCCCCTTACCCTCTCTCTGGGAGCCCCTACCAGACCTTCGAGGCTGCGTGTCCCAATCAGCTAAAAAGGAGGCCCCGCCCGCGGCACCTGGTAGCTCCTCGGGCGCTGCGAGTTCGACGCGGCCACTGCTGCTGTTTTCTCCCCTGAATGCGTGTGAGCCGCCACCCCCGCTACCATCCCTGTCCTCCCAGACCACACCCTGCTCTGGGTCTTGCCGGGAGCCACCTCTTTGGTTTTTCACATCCCTGGAATGGATCAAAACTAAGAACCTTAATCAATACTTATTATAAAATTGACACCTGCTCCTTAAAATACAAACAAACCCATCCCTCGATAAGCTTTTGATAGGCTTTTGATATGATTAAAACATTCAAACTCCTTTATATACCCTCTCCTCAAAAACACAAAATTGAAATTATACTTTTTTTTTTAGTTCTGTTACAAGGATAGAAGGAATTGAAAGGTTTTGTTAGTCATAGGAATTAGAAAGTGCGGGTCGGGGCGCAGGGAGGAAGATGGATTAAATTTGGTAAAGTTGAGCTTGTTTTAAAAATGTATTTTAAAAATATTCTAGTTATAGTCTGTGCATAAAGTCTTGTAACAAAATTATGTAACAATTTTAAACAAGACAAATCTTTCTTAGCTTTATGTTCTCCTTGGTGGTGAGGGTGGGGAGTGTGGAAGACAGATCCTCTTTGATTTTTTTTTTCCGTCTCCTCCCTTTTTTCTTTACCAGTCCCTTTCTCACAAAATAAGAACTGTTGTCAGTTTGTGTGTATTTTTCTTTGCATTTATTTGACAAGTGTGTGCACGTTATGATATATGTTTGTAAGATTTCGCCTTAAACTTTTACAAATACGTATGTTTTATGCATTACATAACTTGACGTTTTATGCTTAAAAACGGGTCTTGGAATTTTTTGTCAGTATGTAGAGATCTACCTATTCTTTCTACTTGCTCTGTAAATTCCATGGTTATGTAAGATTCCATAGATTGTTTCCAGTTTTTCCTTGTCAGACGCAGTGTGGCGGAGAACATCCTTCCCACACACCTCTATGTGCCCATGTGAGCATTTCTCAAGGATGGGTACCCGCAGGTGGAATTGCTGGATGGGAGAGTATGGGGATTTAGGAATGCCAAACTGCTACCCACGGTGTATAATAATTTCCTCCGTGCCCTCTCTCTTTTTTGATACAGAGTCTTGCTCTATTGCCTAGGTTGGAGTGCAGTGGCGTGATCTCGGCTCGCTGCAGCCTCTGCCTCCCAGATTCAAGCGATTCTCCTGCCTCAGCCTCCCGAGTAGCTGAGATTACAGGCACCTGCTCCCACACCCGGTTAATTTTTGTATTTTTAGTAGAGATGGGGTTTCACCATGTTGACCAGGCTGGTCTCGAACTCCTGACCTCGAGTGATCCACCCGCCTCGGCCTCCCAAAGTGTTGGGATTACAGGTGTGAGACACCGTGCCCAGCCCCCCATGCTCTTTCGAACATTTAGTGGTATCAATCTTTTTAATTTTTGCCAATCTGATGGATGGAAAAGTGATTTCTCATTGCTGTTTTAATTTGCATTCCCCTGATTACTGTTGAGATTGAACATCTTCATGATTGTCGGCCATTTGTATTTCCTCTTTTGAGAAACATCTCTTTCTATTGGATTGTCTTTTCCTTACTGATTTATAGTAGTATTTTATATGTTCTGGATTTTGATCTTTTGTTATTTATATATGTTTATAATATTTACTCCCTGCTTATTGCTTTTTTAAGTTGTTGCTTCTCTTTTAACTATATGGCATCTTTGTTGAAACAAAGTTTAAAATTTTAGGTTTTAATTTATCAGTCTGTTCTGTGTGTGTTTGTATTTTGTGGCTATCATTCCCAATCTGAGTGATCCTTAAATGGCAAAGATTTTTGCTCTCAGGGTTATTTGGCAATGTCTGTAGATGTTTTTTGTTTGTTCCACTAGGATGGTGCTGCTATTGGTTATCTAGTGAGTAAAAGTGAGGGGTGCTGCTAAACATCCTACAGTGCATGGGAAACATCCTACAGTGCATGGGAAACATCCTATAGCACATGGGAAAGCTTCCCACAACAAAGAATTTCACCAGCCAAAAATGTCAATTGTGCTGAAGTTGAAAAATCCTCCTCTACTTTTAGAGAGAGGAGGGTTTTCTCCTAAAGCTCTGTTTTCTCCTAGAAGTTTTTCTTGTGGGAATAGTTTTTTTCCTTTAATTCCTCTGGAATTGGTGCGTGTATAATTGTTGTTTTCCAAGCACTGTCACCTCGAATAGTCAGTCCATTCTTGCGCCATTGATCTGAAATGCCACACTTACCATGTACTAATTTCTTTTTTTTCTTTTTAATTTTTATTTGTAGAGATAGAGATGAGGTCTTGCTATATTGCTCAGGCTGGTCTCAAACTCCTGGCCTCAGGAGATTCTCCCACCTCAGCCTCCCAAAGTTCTGGGATTACAGACAGGAGCCACCTCACCTGGCCACATGTACTCATTTATCATACAGGGTCTGTTTCTAGACTGTCTTCTGTTCTATGGTATACTTTTCTATTTGCTGGACCAATACCACAACGTCCTATATTAAACTGTTATATGTTGACATCTAATAGGGTAAATACTCCATCATGATTATTATTTTATTGGAAGTCATATACTATATCAGCTCGTGTCCTCTCATTTAAAAAACAGTATTTTTGGTTATTTATTTTCCAGATTAATTTTAGAGTCAGCTTGTCAATTTTTTTTTCTTTTAAGAGTTGGGGAGCTGGGCGCGGTGGCTCACGCCTGTAATCCCAGCACTTTGGGTGGCCGACGCAGGTGGATCACCAGGTCAGAAGTTTGAGACCAGCCTGACCAACATGGTGAAACCCCATCTCTACTAAAAATACAAAAATTAGCCGGGCATGGTGGCGTGCGCCTGTAATCCCAGCTACTCAGGAGGCTGAGGCAGGAAAATCACTTGAACCCAGGAGGCGGAGGTTGCAGTTAGCTGAAATTGCGCCACTGCCTTCCAGCCTGGGCAACAGAGTGAGACTCCATCTCAGAAAAAAAAAAAAAAGAGAGAGATGAGATCTCACTTCGTCACCCAGCTGGAGTGCAATGGCAGCCTTGACCTCCTGGGCTCAAGTGATCCTCCTGCCTCAGCCCCCCAAGTAGCTGGGACTACAGGTGTGCACCACCACACCTGGCTAATTTTTGTATTACTTATAGAGATGAGGTTTCACCATGTTGCCCAGGTTCGTCTTGAACTCCTGGGTTCAAGTGACACGCCCACCTTGGCCTTCCAAAATGCTGGGATTACAGGCGTGAATCACCACACCTGGCCCCAAATCATTTTTTAATGGCTTTATTGAGATGTAATTCACACACCATATAATTCATTATTCAAAGTGTACAATTTGAGGATTTTAGTATATTCATAGAGTTGTGCAAATATCACCATAGTCTAATTTTACAACATTTTTATCACCCCCAAAATAAACCCATACCCATTAGCAGTCACTCCCTATCCCTGACTCCAGTAAGACCCCAGCCCTAAGCAACCACTAATATTTCTGCCTTTCTAGATCTGGGTGTTTTGTGTAAATGGAATCATACAATGTGTAGTCTTTTGTGACTGGCTGCTTTAACTTAGGATAATGTACTCAAGATTTTTCGATTCTATAGCATGTTTCAGTATTCATTCCTTTTTATTACTGAATGAAATTTCATCCTATGGTATATTTGTTTTGTAGGGCTGCGGTCAAAGTAACACAAACTGGTGGCTTAAAACAACAAGTTTATTCTCTTGCAGTTAAGGAAGCTAGAAGTCCAAAATTAAGGTGTCAGGAAGGGTCATGCTCTTCCTGAAGGCTCTAGGGGAGAATCCTACCTTGCCTCTTCCTAGTTTCTGGTGGTTGTTGGCAATCCTTGACATTTCTTGGTTTGCAGTTGCATAACTCCAGTCTCTGCCTCTGTCTTCAAATGGTCACCTTCCCTGTGTGTCTGTCTGCATATTGGATTTGCTCAATGTAAACCTGTTTCTTCTCCTCCTCCTGTAAGGACACCAGTCGTATTTGATTAAAGGCCCACCCTACTTCAGTATGACTTCATGTTAACTTGATTACTTCTTTGAAGACTCTATTTCCAAATAAGGTCACATTCACAGGTATTGGAAGTTAGACCTTCAACATATCTTTTTGGGGAATATAATTCAACTCATAACATACGGATATGCTATGTTTTATTTATCTGTTCATCAACTAATTGACATTTGGGGTGTTTCCACTTTTGGGCTGTTATGAATAGCTATGGACTTTAGTACGGGCATGTGTTTTCATTTCCCTTGGGTATATACCTGCCAGTGGAATTGCTAGGTCATATAACTGCCAGACTGTGTTCCAGAGCAGCTGTACCATTTGACATTCCCACCAACAATGCATGAGATTTCTAATTTCTCCACATTATTGCCAGCACTTGTCTTTTTTTTTTTTTTTTTTTTTTTTTTGAGAGACAGCGTCTTACTCTGTTGACCAGGCTGGAGTACAGTGGAGTGATCAAAGCTTCCTGCAGCCTCAAACTCCTGAGCTCAAGCAGTCCTCTTGCCTCAGCCTCCCAAGTGGCTAAATCTATAGGCATATTACCACTCCTGGCGAATTAATTTTTTTTGTTTGTTTTTATTTGTAAAGGCAGGGTCTCACTATGTTGCCCAGGCTGGTCTCAAACTCCTGGCCTCAAGTGATCCTCCCACCTTGGTCTCTCAAAGTGCTGGAATTACAGGTGTGCACCACCATACCTGGCCTTATTTGTTTTTTTTTAATAGAATCATCCTACTGGGTGTAAAGTGGTATCTGATTGTGGTTTGGATTTGCATTTTCCTAACAGCTCATGATATTGAACATCTTTTCAAGTGCTTATTGGCCATTTGTATACCCTCTATCAGGAAATGTCTGTTCAGTTAGCTGGACATGTCTCTTCAGTTAGCACACCTGTAGTCAAGAGGCTGAGGCAGAAGGATCACTTGAACCCAGGAGTTTGAGGCTGTTGTGAGCTATGATTGCACCACTGCACTGCAGCCTGGGCAACAGAGCCAGATCTTGTCTCTAAAAAACATATTAAAAAATGAATTGAAGAACAGAAATACCTATTTAGATCCTTAGCCAGTTTTTAAATTGGTTTGTCTTTTTATTATTTGGTTGTAAGAGATTTTTATGTATTCTAGATACACACTCTTCCAAGATAATATGACTTGTAAATATTTTTTTCCCATTCTGTGGGTTGTCTTTTCACTTTCTCAATGGTCAATTCATTCTTTTTTTATATATATATAATTTCAACTTTTATTTTAAATTCAGGGGGTACATGTGCAGGTTTGTTACATGGATATATTGTGTTTTGCTGGGGTTTGGGGTATGGATGAGTCCTTCACTCGGGTACTGAGCATAGGTAGTTTTTCAGCCTGCAGCCCCCTTCCGTGTCTTCCCCTCCTCTCTAGTAGTCCCCAGTGTCTGTTGTTCCCGTCTTTATGTCCATGTGTACTGGGTGTTTAGCTGCACTTATGAGTGAGAACACGTAGTATTTGGTTTTCTGTTCCTGTATTAATTCACTCAGGGTTGTGGCCTCCACAATCCATGATCCATGATCCACAATCCATGATCCTGATCCATGTTGCTGCATCCATTTTTCTCATCTGCACACAGTCAATTCATTCTTTAAAAAGTTTTAAAAAATGAGGTTTGTATTGAATTTACATATTATTTTGATTTTACATATTATTTCTGTAAAACAATCTTGTCTGCTTATCAAAAATAGGATAATTATAGTACCTCCCACATAGGGTTATTGAAAGGATTAAATGAATACTTTAACATGAGTATATATGTACATGTAAAGTACCTGGCACATGACAGCTGCTATCATACATCTCCACTCTTCTGGTCTTCCAGATCTTCACTAAAGTTTTCTGTTTCTCTTTGTATTGATCTGACGCATTTCCTGTTGAATTTATTCCTAGACTTGTGTATGTGTATATGTGGTTTTTTTAATGTAGTTTTAAAGTAGTATACAGGTGTATTGCTATTATGAATGAGATTTCTTTTTTCACATTTTTATAATAGGTTTGGAAAGCTATTGAGTTTATACTCATCAGACTTTCTGAATTATCTTATAATTTCTAAAAGTTGGTTGATGACTTTGTTGTTTTTCCAGGTGGTTGTGATGCAGCCA